ACATAATAAAGCATACTGTATATGAATTTGAGTTAAGTGTGTGTGTGTAAAAATGGAAAATTCAAAAGCAGGATTTTGTTTTTTCAATTCTAACAGAGGCTGGCCGTGTTGTTAGTTACTAACAGTAGTTAGAGGAGGAGGGTGTGTGGTGCATGTATATGGATCACAACATTTTAATATTAAACGCATTTAGAGTAAAGCAGTTTGTTGTTCATTGTTACTATTGTTGGCTGTTCATCGCCGCAGCAGTGTGGTTCTTATAATAGCATAATATGTTGGTATAGTCAAAGGTATATTTAACCGAGCGTAACATGCGGAAAAATCTGTTATAGTTGGTGGTTTAGTTTTTCAGTTCGAGGGGAAAAAGTTGTAAAAAAAAAGAGAAAGGGAGAGAAAAAATAAACGTGAATTTTTAAAACATTTGTCAATAGGGAAGAGTATATTGAAAATATATATGAAATATAAAACAAATGTTTCGGATATGTAGACAAAGAAAAAAAAAAAGATGCAATCGCGTTTGAATGTCAACAAGAACAAAGGACACAGTCACAGACAGTTGCTATTTTCATTTGCCACAAGAAATGTAATTTCAACAAAAAGATGAACTGAGCGCAGTAATGAATGATCGATTTCAATGTGTTACAAATGTAGATTTCTATATGGAGGACAGAATTTTGATTTTGGTTAAATCCCAAAAGTCATGCAGAAGAGGGTTGGTTGGGTGTGTATTTTTTGCAAATAAATTGTTGGTTTGAAAATTTTCTGAATTAGATCAAAATGCGATGATGGAATCTTCCCTCATATCCTATCTCGGAAAAAAATCTTACGAATCCTTATGGGATGGGTTTGTATTTTTTTTTTTGTAAATAAATTGTTGGTTTGAAAATTTTCTGAATTGGGACAAAATACGATAGACTCCTCCCTCATATCCTCTCTCGGAAAAAATCGTACCAATTCCTATCCCTTTTTTTGTATTTTTAATGATAATTTATTTTATATAGAAGATGGTGATTTTTGAAACTGTGAATTTCCTATTAATAAAAAAAGGAAATTTAATTAAAAATTTTTTATTCTCTATTTCCATATGATTAATAAAGGTGGTTAATATTATTTCACTTTATTACGATGCCGAAAGTTATAGAAATTCTCATTTCCCAAGTCAGGGGCTAAAGAGACCCACCCACAAAATACTTTGGAATAACGAGGGGACTGGAAAGAACACAAAACTATTTTGGGGAACCCAATAGACTGTCAGATATTCTCACAGGACATTTCAGCCTGTAGGCACATTAACACATGATTGGATGTGTCGGATAACAACGATCACTTATTATGCCACTGCCCAGTTTTAAAAATCTCGAGACCACTTGTCATTGTCACAGACCATTTGATCTGTTTATTCTCAAGTCTGTCAATGTCAAAAAGTTTGACATTATTTACATTTTGATAAATGGAAGTCAATTTTTTGACAGCAATCTTGAGACGATGTTAAAATCCTGGTCTGGTCTTATTAATAGGCCTTGTTTTAATCAGCATACGGCATGATTCTAAGCTAGATCTATAAATAAGGTCACCCAAGTAACAATTGGAAAACAGCTGTTTACATTTTCATAATGGATGTCAATTCACAATAATGCATTTTGAGAGCAAATTTGAGATGCAGCTGATATCCAGCTGGTCTCCCTGGGCGACCTTATTTATAGGCAATGGTCTGGATGAACATATTAATAGGTGTTGTTTTCATCAGCTTGCTGCATTTGGTTTGAAATGGAGGAACATCCGAGCGTATGATTGCTGGCTCCACAATATATTTATCATACGCCTTCGTACACATTTTTTAATTGTTTCGAAATATTTGGGAACACTACTCAGAATTATACAATTTAAATTCAAATAGATATAATTTACAATTTTTTCTATAAAATTTTTTAAAATGTACAAATTAATTATTATTAAAGATTGCCGATTGCTGTGTTGCGAAATATTCCACTTCGGTAAATGTGCTCTTCGGCGGATAGTGTAACGAAGGCCTAATAAAAATATATTGGGTAACTACTACTAATTCAGCAGATCTGCGAAGAAATTGTCAAGAGCCGGCGTTGACTTGATCTATGAGAAGGAAAATGGCACCAACAAATAAATCTGTTGCATTGGTTTAGGGGTTTATAGACAAGTGGACCGAACGGAGTATTTTTTTATACCTGGACATATCTACAAGTTTTGGACTGTAGATAACAATTTCTTTTCAAGGGTAATTGTATAGATTGACAACAATCAACTCTTTGTACTGGAATCCACATCAAGCAGATCTTAAAGAAAATGGTCTAGAACAAATGTCCACTTGATCTATGAGACGAATTTTGGCAATTGCATTAGTTTCTGATTTACTACCTATGAAGGAATCGAAGTCTGGGTAACGATTGTATTCGAACAAAGTTTTTTTTTTAATTCCTGGACATCTCAACCAGATTTTAAATTAGAAACTAATGCCTTGCTAGAGGCTATGACATCAATCGCTATACTGGAATTGACAGATTTAAAAATCTGGGATCTACGGTTTAAAGTCAGGGCACTACCGAACGGAAACTTCCTATATTCTTATACATGAACATTTCTCCAAGTTTTGGACATAAATAACAATTTCTTGTCAAGGGTAATTGTAAGGAGGTAATGCCATGATTGACAACAATCACCTCTGTACTGGAATCCACATATTTAAAGTCGGGGATATTAAGCAGATCTTAAAGAAATTGGTCTAGAACAGATGTTCCCTTGATCTATGGTTTATTATTCGAACAAAGCCTTTTTTAATACCTGGACATTTCAGTCATATTATGAATTAGAAACTAAGGCCTTGCTAGAAGCTATGACATCAGTCACTATACTGGAATTAACAGATTTAAAAATCTGGGAAATATCTGGGGTCTACGGTTTAAAATCAGGGAACTGCCGAACGGAAACTTTTTGATACTAGGTATACGAACAAGTTTTTGAACGTAGAAACTAAGTCGTTGTCAAGAGTAAGGAGTGAGAATATGCCATGACTGATTTAAAGTCGATCGCATTCACCAGATCTTGGAGGCACGGATCGAGAGCAATACCAAAACCAAATAAATCAATTACATTTGTTTTTTTTTTCAGTTACTACCTGTACCATGGTTTACAGTCAGGGTATCGACTAAAAATCGAACGGACAATTCAACTCTAGTTGAAAACTTAGATACCAAGGGTAAGGAGTACAAGAATCGATCGATTTTAAAACCCATCCAAACAACTGTACATTAAAAGGTTTTACACTCAGTTGTCAGATTTTGGAATAGATGATGTATGGGTACAATTCTCCAAACAAAAAAACTTTTCTTCGACTGATCTACAGTGACAGCTGATTTATAGATCAACCAGATTCAATAGATTATCCGACTTTTGTTATTTTGAATCCAAACAAATCTGACTTCCAAAGAAAATGGTTTGTCAATCTTTGTTGGATTTCAGGTCATAGCGACATAAAGGGAAATGAAAGGGCTGGCGTATTTGTTCTTTTCTTCCAGATAGAATGTTGAACATGATGGATTTGGAGGTGTTTTCTTGAGCTATGTAAACTAGTCAAGAGGACAACAAGAAGGTTGAAGCATCAACAGTTTGGTAGACGTTTCCATGACAGAGGGGTCTACGATCCGAAACGATCCGAGTCTTACTCTGCCAACGTCTGCACCTCTGTTTTTGTGTAAAAGCAATAGGGCTGCTACAACAACAACTGTTTGGTAGACATGAGTTAACCACTCTATAACCTTTTTTTCGAGATAGACCCTAAAATCATTTAAAGCATTGCCAAAAAATTGTAGTGACTGTGTTTCAAAATCCCTAACACCTTTATTTTTTATTTCTAAATTTCCCTATTTATGAAGTTTTTTTAAGATATGGGAACAATGGACCACAGGTCTCCGATTGGAGTCAAAAAGGGGTCTGTTCATAAAATTGTATAGAAGTCGACATCATGAATTATCTCCGCCTTCAGAATCTACAAATAGCTTTCCCACTTCATTCATATCAAGGTCGGAGCATTGTTTTGAGCCTAAGTCCCTAATAAAAAAATAAATTCAAATGAGATTTCTATATAGCAAAAACTGAGATCTATTAACCAAAAAAACCAAATCGACAAATAATCAACAGACAGCAAAATTAAAAAAAATTAAATTAAAATATAAAACGATATTTAAAAAAACAGTACATTTTCAAAAGAACACTTACATGAACAGGAGGATGTGTGAGAATGGGGAGAGAGCAAGCAATATATGGAAATGGAGAACAAAACAGGGAACAAATGCAGCAAATTTAAAGCATAAATAATACAAATCTCTTATTCTTCTTGGTTGGTTTGTTTTGTGAATGTGAATACAATGAGAACAAAATAGGACAATATATCGTATATTATATAATATAAATAATAACACATAACACTTGTTTATAATTATAATATAATAATAATGCTGATGGATGATGAGATGAACAAGTGAAACGAATGGTGGATGAAGAATAAGAATGACAGTGTGACACGCACAAAGTGAGAGATAAAAAGAGAGTAGGAGAATAAAAATTAAATGTGTCATAATTTTGTGTGGGTGAAATGATGACGTTCTGCTGATAATGTTGTTGAATGCCTTCATATCAGGATATAATGTGTGTATGAGATGTGTGGTGTTTGTGTGATTGTTTGATAATAAAAAAAATCATATTGGTAATGTTTGTTTTTTGTGGTTTTGTGATTGTTTGTTGTATACCATTTTTGAATATGATGACAATATATATGTGAGACGAAGTGATTATGTTTTGTGGGGGAGGGATGAAGATGTTGTTGGAGATTTGTTTTGTATGGTTGTGTGTTTTTTTTTCTTTTGTTTCTTTGAGAATTTTGTTTTGATTCGATTACGGTTCAATGTGTTTGTTTGATGTCTTGTTTTTTTTTGTTTTTCTATCTGTAATAAGATCGATCATCATAATCATTACATTGTATTGTAAGCGGCTGCATTGACGGCTGGCTTTTGTAACATTGCAAGTGGATGAGTTCTTCCATGTTGTTGCAAACGTCTTTGTGCCGGCGGCTGTTGTTGTTGCTCATTTAGATGATGGTGTTGGTGGTGATGATGACTGGTTATGGTAGCATTGGATGATGGCAATCTTTGTGGTGCTGGTGGTGGTCGACTTTCGCTAAACTCATGTGGCTTGCCCGCCAAAGATCTTTGGGACTCATGACAAGATCTTGGTCGAATTTTTACAACTGTCTGTGACGTCACTGTCGTCGTCGCAGAGCCAGTTGATTGATTTGTTATTGATTTTGAAGCTGTTGTCGTTACACTGGAGCTCGACGATGACGACGTCGAAGATGTCTGATATTTATGCACTAAGCCCTTTACATTATGATCACATTGTTCGTCGGCAGATGATGCTGATGTTGCAGTTGATACTGTTGTCATGTGTTGTTCTAGAAACGTCGTCGTTTTCGTTTGATGTTGGTGATCGACATGTTGAGCCACTGGTGATGATGGAAGTGATTGATGTCCCTTGGCTGGAACCTTACTGGAGGAACAAATGTTACCAGTTGTTGGATTTATTGCCGGCTGATTACCCACAGCGACATTTAAACCTGCACTACCAGCGCCACCACCACCTGCTTTAGCTTCAAAGCTTTTCTTAAGAATTTGAACATTGCCCGAGACTCTTTGATCCTCAGTTGTACATTGTAATTGATTGTCCGTCCTTCTTAAGATGACATTCTCCTCGTCACTGCCGTTACCCGCCGTTAACGTGTTTTTATTCTCAATATCAGACATGGTGTAGGCTTCTGGGGCTGACACCGAAAATATATCGGCGGCCACCGCCGGACGACTGCCATCGCTGCGCCTTCCCAAGGGCATAAGTGAACAGTGAGTGGTGACTCCTCCACTGCCAACACCACCACTAGGTACAATTTCTTCACTATTACAGCGATGACCTAAACGTGTTCGTGTTCCCGCCGCAGCTGATGCAGAGCGATATAAATTGGTATTTCGTTTGGTATATACGCTGGTATCATCACCGCCACCACCATCGTTGGTGTTGGAGGATACATTACTGGCATTACTGGCACATTCCGAGCCACTACCATTTTCCTGGCATAACTTTTTTAGGGCTGTGGATTCTTCCAACTTTTGTTTGGTTCGTTTCACGGTACCAAAATGGTGATGTTGTTGTGGACCATGAATTGTTGATCGGCTCTCGGCCGAGGCAGTCTTATTACTCGTATTAAGTTCATGAATTTGACCTTCAAAAATGGCATTTGCATTGGCATGGTGGTTGAAGGTGCTGGCATACTGGCAACTATTGCGATTTGTGTCAAAAGCTGCCCAGGAGCCATTGCGCATTGGCATACCGCTGCGATTATCGCCAGAACCCCAGGAGGCATGGCGCAAGGGCAATTCTCTTTGGCGGGAACGTGTTTTCACTAGACCTTCATACACGGCGGCAGTTGCGGTGGCGGCTGGTATTGCAGCAGGTGCAGAAGTTTGCGTTGAAATGGAATCAATGCTGCTGTTGGAGCCCTGAACGGTGCTATCCATGATAATGCCACCGCTTGTTGCCGCCCACGATTGGGTTTTGCGAGAATGTGGACGCTGTTGCTGTTTATTTATGGCCTCTTCGCGATTCAGGGATGTAACACTGGTATTGATGTTGGATGTTTGTGTAATTAGTTTGGCGGACGATGTCCACACAGGACTGCCCGTTTTTGTGTTACCACCACCACAGTGACCATCATTGCCAGCAGCGGATGAGTGTGGTACTTCAGCACTTCGGTTACACTCCTCTGCATCATCTGCTGTTTTTCCAAATGCCAAATTCAAAGATTTACGATCATCGGCCAATCTACGTGTGGGATCGTGGATTTGATGATTCTCCAAATCGTGGACTATGGTACGTACAGATGTGGCAGCTGGTGGCGATGTTTGCATCTTTTGCACTGGACCGTCGTCATCCGCCAATGATGGCGGTGGTGTCGACGCTGCTCTTAACGATGACGATGAGGGTGGTGGTGTATGCTTTTGTATGTGTAATACTTGATTTTGTGTAACGCTGTAATTTTCCCCATTACTGCCGGGGAAGCGCATGTTTTTTGGCTCTTCCGCTATGCTACGATCGGGCGTTAGATGTTCTAAACTTTGTGATTGCTGTTTCATAACAACGATAGACGACAATGGCGATTCTATTGTACGTGGCGAAGTACTGCTCGATCGACGCATTATTCGTCGATGTTTGTGTTCACTACGAGCCGTTGGTCGGGCTGATAATTTTGTCGCCGTAGCCGGCACCACCAACGTATCTAAGGCAGAAGAATTACTGTGACCGTCTATAGCATCGTTACTATCACCACCCGATTTGGATTTCGATTGATTTAGGGCCTGTATCAGGGGGGTGGGTTCACTGCCCGGCAAAAGACGGGCATCCTTTGTGCTCTTTAAATTTGTTTCACTTTTACTGCGCTGCAGTTTCTCTTTATTTTTCATGGCATCTAACATTCCTCGATACGTTTCCAATTGATTGAGGAAATTCTTATTGGGTTTTATGCAGCTACGACGTTCCTTAACGTGCTGCAGTGCCTTTTGGAATTCCCAATTGTAGGCTTTCATGGCATATGCAATAACAACCGATGCCGACCGACTGACGCCCATTTTACAATGGACCAATACTTTGGAGCCTTCGGCTTTGGCCCGGGTTATATAACGAAATGTATTGTCCCAGTGTTTAAGTAAATTGGTTTTTTCATCGTCATAGACGCGAACATTTAGATAGTCGAACATGCCCGGAAAGAAATTGTCTATTTCGCGAGTTACATTCAAAATGTGACGAACACTGTAATGTAAGAGAGAGAAAACAAAACAATTTAATTCGAGAAAAAAATATATATTTGCAAATTTCTGACATATGTAGAAAAAATGTCTTTTTTTTGGAAAAGGAGAAAATAGGAAGGAAATCGGGTAGAAGATGAATGTGAAGTATTCCATAAATTAACCAGTAATCATGAGGGCCTAGTCTTATACTCTGAAGTATGACTTCCTAACACTGGAGTGTTATGCAACTTTCTGTCTGTCATGATCCTCTCTTCTTCCATCTCTCGGAAGGTTAGAAGGTTATAGAAAAGAACGGTTCATATATAACACAATGAATCAACGTCAAACAACAAATGTCGTGTATTCATTTCGCATCAAAAAAGGGAAGAAACTTATGGGACAGCCTAATAGAAAGATGGAACCCATTGGTCCAATCCTTCCGGTACCTCCCCCTACAAAGGGTCAAAATTTTTCAATAGTTTTAAGTCCAAATTTAAGCGAATGGTTAGGTTAGAGGATGTACAGTCACTATTTTGACTTCAGTACTTCAGCCGTCTGTACTATGAATAACGACATCTACATCGTCAAATCTCAGGACTGGCGATATATAGTCGCTTAGTTTTACGCGTTGATCCAATGTCATACCTGGCTCGTTCAAAGTACGACCATGCCCAAAGGTACAACTTCGGCATAGGTTTTGTTCATGCAGCCTTAGTGGGCTACGCGCGGCCTGACACTTAATGCTGAGGCCCAGGGGCCTAAAATTCAGTATTGCGTTCAGGGCTGCTTGTGGCGTACTCCTCCTGGCTTCTGTAACTAAAATCGAGGCGGCTCTTTGTACCTTATCTAATTTACTGGATGTCGACATGTGGCGCAGACAGTTCCACCACACAAGAGCACCACAGGATAGGATGGGCCTTACCACAGTGTTATACAACCATTGTATAGTTGATGGTTTGGCCCCCATCAGTGGAATTCTTCATGCATATAGTGCAATCAGCCCTCTCTTCGCCCGTTCCTCAGTGTTCCTATTCCATCGTAGTTGACAGTCCAAGATTGTGCCGAGGTACTTTGCTTCAGGAGATAGATGAAGTTGCACTCCATCCAGAGTTGGCGGAGCAAAAACGCCGCAATCCCCCTGTGTAGATTTGGCTGGGATCACCGTGGTGTCCAGCTCATCATCAGTTAGGGTAAGATTCAGTAGCAGTTCCTCCGGAAGCGTATCCCCACATTGCTCTTCTGGTATCAGTCTGTCTAACTGGACGAAGAGTTCCTTAATTGGCTCCCAGAACTACAGTCCTGTCAGCCAGAGACTGATTTTCATCAGTCTTGACATGCTCATTTGCCACAGGAATAGACGGTTCGTCAACATTTTGGTTTGGAATTGATGCATGGTGAGGGTATATATCTGACGACAACGCCGACTGACATTTTTTACTTGTTTTTTTTTTTTGCAATACTTACCCATTCTTCTGTAATTCTTCCAAATTGCTAGCATTCCATTCCGAGCCCAAATAGACATGTTCAAATATTTCGGTGGGAGCATCCATTTGTCCTAATATCATTAGCATTTCTTCGTCAATAAATGATTTGTATTCACCCAAATCCATATCTAAATGCTCTTCTAAACGACTGCGTATATATTTGGAGGTGACTTCATCCAAATCGACCGACATCATTATTTCTTTTAATTTCATTTTGATAACACCTTCGGTTTCTTCTTTTGCAGTGGGTCTAAAAATAATAAAAATTTAAGCATAAGGTAAGGAAAATTTGAAGAACCTTTGTGTCTACAATTAAACTCACTTGTTTCGTATGGCATCCGGTGATGGTGGTCGACGACTTTCGAGCGAGTCCATAGCATTCCATTCATTTAGACACGATTGTTCGGATTCTATGCGACTTTCATAAAAGGATAACCAATCATGTGATGGTCCACCGGGATAAAAATTATTCTCACGAGCCTTTTGGGATACTTTATGTAGGGTTTGCAATGCAGACCTAGAATATATAGAAAAATTCGTTTAAATATATATAATGATGATAATGGTAAATCATCAAATCACTGCCACTTACCACATTGCTTGTACAGAAACTGGCTTAAAAATATGAGTCTTGCCAAATACCGAAACACTGAAACCTCTGTAAAAAAAACATAGATTCATTAAGTGAGTAATTTTAGATTTTATTTAAAATCAAATACTTACCCATCACCATCTAAATGTATTGTGGTATCAGCTAAAATTGGCACAACCAAACCAATTGTTGCTCTCTCATTGTAATCAATGCCGAGTATACACGATTCTTCAACACCAACATAGTCTTGAGCGGATGATGGAGCATTTCCTGTATTAGCCGTTGTTGCAGAATTCGAAGGAATCAATATATTGGCAGTTGAGTTTTGTTGTAACATCGCAGTCGCATTATTACCATTTTTATTGTTATCTCCCGAACCACACAAACGCTCGGAAGCATCACATTTAAGACTTTGACGATTCGTTGTTGTGGCGGCGGTATTCGACAAACGTTTATCACGCATTTCCACCCAGCTATCGTCGATTTGTTGTAAATGATGTTGATGCTGCGATGAACTTTTGGTACCATCCATAGAGAGCTGACGTGCTGTACCGACATTACCAAATGTCTGATGTTGCTGTTGTTGTGTTGCTCCCGTGTTTGGCGCATTTGTTGCCGATGACAAAGAACACGATGATGACGTCGACATTCTGGCTGAATTATGACGCATTATTTTATTACGTCTTTCGGTGGTGGTAGGACGATAACAGCAACGTGAAGCAATTACAATATAACGTGTACGATTTGCACGCTGTGATTCCAATTTAACAGCCTATTTTTATAATTAGAAAAAAAGAAAACAAAAAACAAAACGAAAGAAGTTAAAATATGATACATTGTAAGGAATTGAATTTTGTTAGGTTAGGTTAGGTCGAAAAGAGGGGTGGATGATACCACCACATGTCCAACATGAGATGGACATACACATAAACAATTGAGGCCTGTTGTGCGCTCTAGAAATGCGAAGGAAGTTAGAATTAGTGAAAGTTTAGATGAAAAAACATTTTGGGTTTGATTCCCCTATGAATCTAGGAATTCCGTCTTTTTTGTGAACTCTTTCAGTCTTCTCCATTCACACCCCCTCAGATCGGTTAGTCCGTGAAGAATGTCATTTCCCAAGAATTGTCTCCGAAGGAAATTACCGCGTGTCAATGGTCTTTGGACTGATGAAGAGGAAATTGACGACCATCAATAAACCAATAATCATGGGTTCTAGTCTTCTACCCTTAAGGATGATAGCCAAATATTGGGATGTTACTCGGACCTCGCGCCTATCAGTGTTTAATGGTTTGCATTCAGGGTATTTACTGTATGCCAATGGAAACTAGGTTGGTACCTGCGTCCATCAATTTGCCATTAACCAGTAATCATGGATTCCTAGTAGTCTACTATCCTGAGTCCATGTCATGATAATGAGGCTTTGCCATGGTCGACATTAACCAGTAATTATGGATAGTAGTCTACTCTCCTGAAGGATGACTCCTTAACACCAGGGGTGTTAAACGACCTCATGCCTATCAGTGTTTAATGGTTGCAGACAGGGTACCGACTGTACCCAAACTGGGTATGATTGGTATCTGGGAGTCTTAACGAGTATTGGGTTTAGTATATCCTTGGTAAAGAGGATATGCCAAGATCGATTTTTGAAACAAACCCCTAATACTTTAACTGACATGCCAACTCTTGGCACGGACTCAGTGTCGACTCCAGAAAAAGCCAGCATATTAAAACCGAGGGTGGGGACAATTTCCTGGACACGAGAAGTCAATTTAGGATAAGAAGCTAAGCTGTAGGGGAGAAACAAAAAGTATTAGGAGGAAGGTGGGAATAGTTTCGATGGCTATAGAAAATGGACAGAAAACGTGCTGAGGTTGCACTATCGCAACCACTTTATGTTTCTACTGATGCTGTAGATTCCATAGTTGAAAAGAAGCTTAGAGACGGTGGAAAGTGAGTACCCACTTCGTTCAGAATACATCTTTGCCTGTAGGTACAATTTCGCCATAGATTTTGTTGATGAAGCCTTAGGCCACTACGCGCTGCCTGACACTTAATGCTGAGACACAAAGGCCTTAAGTTCAGCATTGCGTTCAGAGCTGCTTGTGGGGTGCTTTTCGCGGCAACTTGTCTAGTTTGCTGGATGTCGACTTGTGGCGCAAGCAGTGCCAATAAACAAGAGAACCAAAAGAAAGAATGGGCCTTACCACCGTGTTATACAACCAGTGTATAGTCGATGGTTTTAGCCCCCAACTATTCCCAATGGAATTCTTACATGCATAGAGTGCAATCTGCCCTCTCTTCGTCCGTTCCTTGGCGTTCCTATTCCATCGTAATCGACAGGCCAGGATTGTGCCAAGGTATTTTGCTTCGGGCGACAGATGAAGATGCACTCTATCCCGTGTTGGTAGAGCCTCGGTGTTGTAAATGGGTATACAAATGCAAGACCATAGAACCATAGAAAGGTAAAATTCCCTATTAGAATCATTGCAAAAGTCTTCAAAGGTAATTCTGGCGGCCTTGCTTCTATCTAACCTAATATAGACATTCCCAATATATATCTGTTAAGGTTTCCTCTATGTATTATAAAAAAATTCTTATTGGAATGGATTTGCAAAATTTTCCTACATTTTCCAATACAATTTGAAATATAACAATTATTTTTTTAACATACCATTTTCAATGTTTCTTCGTGTCTTAACAGATAGAACATAGACTGCAAATGATGTTGAATATCAGAATTATTACTTTGTGTGCTGTTTGTTGATCTTATTGAATCCGTGCTCAGACGACGTTCAGAGTATTGTGGAATATCTTTGAGCGCTAATACTAATGCGGTGCCTTTGCCAGCAAAGAAACATTCGCTTGAACTGTAAAAGAAAAATAAAAGTTTTAAAATAATAGTAAAAACGAAATAATTTAAAAAAATATATATTACCTTTTTTCATGTTTGCTACCCTCCTCTTCATCGGCTTCGCTGTCCTGTTAAAAAAAAATAAATATTTTAAAACGTTATCAAGGAATAATAATAATAATAATAACTTTGCATAATATTCTGGGACTTTTAACTGCTCTAGAAAACACTTATACAATAAATATTTTATACATATTCAAAATAAGGCAAATTGAACTCGACTCTCCCACTGCATTGTATATTAGACCATGCCATAGAGAATTTTGAACATATTTTGAGGATAATAATTCAATCCTCGTTTAATACAGCAATCCAGTCGGGAACTATAAATTCCAATCCAATGTCGTGGCTAGCTAGTCTTGCATTTGTAGTTTTATCTGTTAGTTTTTGTTGGGTTGTGCTGAAGATCTTGCGCGAGTTCGTGAAGGACAAACCGTAAATTGAGATCATTACTTTATCTTGTTGAAGGTTTTATCTTGTTTAGGTTTTCCATGATCTGTTGCATTATACATTGACTACTAAGAATTATTCCTAAGTTTATCCGTCTACCTAGCTGGCCACGACATAATTGTAGGACGCCATAGGTGATGAAACGAAAGGCTTAATATCTTCATAGTATTTTCGTGAAAATATACTTTGCCGAAGTCTTTGGAATCGAATGATAATCACACAACCAGGATTTGTGACAGTGTAGATTGTTTGGAATGCCCAGCCTAACGTGTGGTAAGTTTCTTTGAAATCGTTTCAGATTTGAATATAGCTCCTATATATATTCCATGTTAAATTGTAAAAATGTACAGGTCGCATGGTCGGTCTAGACATGGTAAAGGTAATAGGTCGTGCAAAGTTTGGTTCAAATCGGACTTCTATTCGCCTGACATTGGATTTATAAATATTGAAAATTTTGACCATCTTCGGACTTGATCTAGGCTCGGTAAGGATAATAGTTTGTACAAAGTTTAGTTCAAATCAGGCATTGCTTTCGCCTGATATTGGATTTACAAATAATGACAATTTTGATCATTTGTGGGGGAGGTACCAGAAGGAGTGCACCAATGGGTCCCATCTTCGAACTTCATCTAGGCTTGATAAAAGTAATAGGTCGTGCAAAGTTTCAAATCGGACATTCTATTCGCCTGACAATGGATTTGTAAATGTTGAAAATGTTGACCATTAATAAGGGAGGTACCGGAAAAAGTGGACCAATGGGTCTCAACTTCGGATTTGATCTAAACTTAGTAAAGATAATTGGTTGTGCAAAGTTTGGTTCAAATCGGACATTCTATTCGCCTGACATTGGATTTATAAATATTGAAAATTTTGACCAACTTCGGACTTGATCCAGTTTTGGTAAGGATAATAGTTTATACAAAGTTTGTTTCAAATCAAGCATTCCATTCGCCTGATAAAAATTTTGTGCAAAGAGAACATTCCATTCACCTAACATTAAATTTATAAATATTAAAATTTTTGACCATTTTTATGGAGGTACCGGAAGAAGTGAACCATTGGGTCCCATCTTCAAACTCGATGTTTGGTTCAAATCCGTTGGCATAGTACCAGAAGGAAGAAATATTACAATGTGCAAAGGTTGGATTAAATCGGTCACTAACTTCGAGAGTTATCGTGGGCACCAGACAGTCAGACGGTCCGGGATACGTAGTCGAGCGCAAAAGTCAACTTTTAGATTTTTGGCTGTGATTAAAAAGTCGACTTTTCGATATTTCGATTTTTTCAAGCCTGTTCAAAATTGATTTTAGACATTTACGACCGATGCAAAAAAAAAAAATAAAAATTAATTTTTTATACAGATAAAATAAAGTTCTGGAAATTTTGGGCAACTTGAACCTTGGTATAATATACCATGTATTTATAAAGAAAATTGAATGTCGACTTTTCTCAAAGATCGAAAGTCAAGTTTTTGACTTTTCAATACAAAAAGTCGATTAATCGTTTAGTCGAAAGTCCATTTGGTCCAAAGAAACATGGGGTCTAAAATAAATTTTTCCAACCGTTACCTACTATCCAGCGAGTCACACAGAAGTTTTAAAGGATTTGTAGGCATGATCTCCTTACTTGACAACTTGACTGGAAAACATAAGGACGATGAAGTAATATGCTCGATACGTATACAGCTTATTGTTTCTGGAAGCCAAATTCCGCCTCTGCGATCATGAGATCGCTGGCACTCGGACAATTTATCTTTACCATGGTAAGGACTTGGAAATTATGACTCCGTTTTTGACTAAAAATCATAAGAATTGTGATGCCTAACTTAAAGGTTATGATTTTTGACTGAAAATCATAAGAATTGTGATGCCTAACTTAAAGGCAATAGACCCGACATGTATACAACATATACATTTCGCATCTTCGATCAAGGGAATGCTGACATTTTCTCATGGCAGCCATTTGTTTCATTCCATAGATTTCTCAATGCACATAAAATATCTATAATTTTCAATACATTTGCAAATTCCCCCTTCGCAAGGTCACTTATTGAAGACAAATATATTTAGCCTCAATAATTGCAATTCACAACAAAAGTTTTTTTGTTTCAAACTATACAATAAATTTCATTGATTAGATGGGTGGATTGTAAACATTGATAAGACCGACCATTGACAAACGAGAAAGTTCCCCTTTCATTCAATACCCTAAAAAAACAATTATGGCAACATTTAGATTTACATTTGAGTATCGCGGTATAACGCGATCTATTTGTAATCGAATAAATCATAACAATGTCAGTCAGTGGGTGATGATGACGACGATGATTCACGACCATTAAAACTGACCCGTTTTTTGCTAATTTTTTATTTTGAAAACTTTGTTTTTTTTTTTTTTTTTTTTTTTAACCATTGTTGTCGTTATTCTTTCCCTATCATTATTGGTGCTAGGCTATATACATTTCCCGGTGATGTATTCTGTTCTGTATTCCATTTTAGGTAATATATAGAAATTTTTAACAGGCATACGTACATTTATGTGTGTATTTAATGATAAGGGTGAAAGGAGGAAGGCAACAGATATTAAAACATTTCATTTTGGTTTTGTTTTGTTTATGCCACTTTTTTGTATAGATGATTGGCATCAATTTGTGTTTTATTTTTTGTTTTGCCAAATATCTATCTGCTCGCCCGCCCATCAAAAAATATTTTCATTTTATTTCTATTTATCTAAATATATGACCATTTTTCGACATGTAGCGTATTTTGAATTATTAGCTGTGTGATTTTTTTTTTTATTTACTTTTACACAAATGAAATGTAAATAAAAAAATTACAAGAATTTGTGTTCATGACATTCAGAAGACGACTATGACGGCCGGACAGCCAGCCACCGATGATGGTGATGAACATCCTTGCCTTGTGTATAATAATAATAATGTATATAATGTTGTAATTTGGTTGTTCCTTGCGGAAGTACGCGATACATATAAATATGTATTTAATTTATTAGTCACATCATATTTTCAATGTCTTCAAAAAAGAAGAAAAAAAAAACAAATTTAAGGTCATTGTCTGGTGTCTATGAATAGGCATATCACCACCACAATGTCGATAGATATATACATACTATCACACTTAACTAGACGGTCGGTCGGTTAATATATGTATGTATATATAAATATATATTTAATTGGAAATAATTTATATTTGTAGTGGTTATTTTGATTTTAAATAGAAAGTCAATGATTGATATTGAAGTTAAATAGAATAGAAGAGCGACAATGCATTCTAAAACGAATATTTTCTTTTTAATAAAAGGAGCTAACCATTATTCGGTAAATTACCTAAATTTTCGTTGATAAACATTGAGGCATTATAGATTCGTCCAATTTTTTTGTAAATGGAGCACCATACTGCCAATATTGGTCCGATTGAGATAAAATTTTGCACATAGTACTTAATTAGGGTCAGATTGATGTATGCGAAGTTTGTTTGGAATCGGTTCAGATTTACATATAGCTCCCACATATAGTTTCGTCAAATTTTTTTTATAAATGGAGCACCATACTGCCAATACTGGTCCGATTGAGATAAAATTTTGCACAGAGTACTTAATTAGGGTCAGATTGATGTATGCGAAGTTTTGTTGGAATCGGTTCAGTTTTATATATATCTCCCATAAATATTTTGTGGAGCACCACATAGACAATGTTTTCCGATTGAGACAAAATTTTGCATAACGTATTGAAGATACTACAAGTTGACACCCGTGAAGTTTTGTTGAAACAGGTTCAGATTTAGATATAGCTCCCATATATATTTTCGTCCGATTTTATATAAATGGTGCACCATAGATCCTGTTCTATTTGCACGATGTCCCATTGCAATGGTCCTCCAAAGATGTCATGTCTATTCTATCTAAAGGATATTGTACATGTGAGCATTTCTTTTATGTACCCAAAGTAGTGAAGGGTATCATCATATAGTCGGCCCCGTCCGACTTTTGATATTTCCTTAGAGGTTTTTGTTTAATATATTTTCAATTACATATAAGTTTCAAAAAATATAAACAAGTAGTTTTTTTTATTTTTAAAAATAAACAAAAATAGTTCACATGTATAAATAAACAAATTAAGAAAAAAAAAGCTGCACACACACTAAAAGTTATTGAGATACCCGCCTACCCACCAACATACCTATTTACCACATTCCTCATCGATGTCGGCCGTGTACAACGTGCAACAACTACAACCATCAACATCAATATGGCCTTTTCATTTTGCAATTAATTACTCATCTGTTGTCGCACTAATTTTTTTTTTGGCACAAAGTACGATAAGGAATTTTAGCGGAAAAACAAGTAATGAACAAATAATAAAAAAAGAATAATTGAAATATACTTTTTTGTATAATTCCACGAATGCCTTTTTTTGTCAGTTTTTTTATAAAACTTTCTTAATCAATAATAACATTTCTTGGGATTTGTTAGACAATTCTAAAGCGAATTAAAATGTCAACAACAAATGTCGATTAACGATCGTGAATAAATAACTGCAATTCGTTGAATTGAAAAAAATGGTCAGAATTTTAAATATAACCTGCAAATGAAATCAAAAAATATTCACAGTTTAGTTCAACATCATTTGAAAATATTCTTGCGTTGAAATCCTTTATTTTCTTTATCTTTTTTTTGGAAGCCATCTACAGTCCTTGATCTCCACTTGTCACGGAAGCGTAGCAGTGGAGAAACGGACTAAAATAATCCAAATGATGGGGTCTACGTCCAGAAATTATAAACTGGTTCTACGAAATATTTATATTCCCGATTTTGACGAATTTTTACGTGATGTAACACACTTGTGAAAGTCGAGGCATTTTTTATAATTGAAGACACCGATTGCATGCTACCGCTTTTCCAATAACCGTCTAGACAGTCTGTCATTCTATACTGACGGTTCTAAAATGAAGTCTCATACAGTGGATTTTCAATAAGTTAACGGATGCAGCTCTAAAACCTTGTCAATTAGTTGAGGGAATTTTAACGTTCATAGATTAAGAAATCAGACAGTTTAGAAGAAACATAAAACAAAAATCAAGAGTTGTTTTATCGTAGCAACCATATAAAGGTATAACACAATTATCAGATCTTCACCATATGAAAAAATCGTAGGAGTATCAAAACTAAACCTCTTCCCAAAGGTTCAGGATGCAAAGAATAGTAGACCCAAGGATCAAATTGAGCGCTGTCGTAATAAAAAATAATGGTTATGCTGTCGATTACTAGCAAAAATTACATATTTATAAGAAACCAGAAAGGAAAGTAGTAAAGTCGGGCTGGGCCGACCCTATCATATCCTTCACCACTTTGGGTAAATTCAACAGATGCATTCTAACAATTGCATGTCAATGTTCCTTCGAGGGAAATTGAACAAATTTAAATATGTGACTTTATCTATACGTGGACCGACTTACATCAATCCATATACATGCCTTTTTGCAACCTATGCTAAATTTCACTTCATTCGGGCAGATTTAGAGTCGTTTGCATACAATGGGACAAATTTATGTAGATCGATTTATAGCACACTTGTTAATCGGACAAACATTGGATGTTTGGTGCACCATTTATCTAAAAAAGACGAAGATATATATGTGGAAGCTTTACCTAAAAATGAAGCGATTTCAACGAAGCTTGCCAGAAATTAATATATATTAACTTCAGTAAATTGTACAAAATTGTGCGCCAACTGGACAAACTTTGGATCTTTCGTACACAATTTACATAAAATCGGAAGAAAATATATACGGGATGTATATCTAAATCTGAACCGATTTTCAGGAAACTTTACACCCATCATGCAAGACTCAATTCAGTAGACTATGCCAAATTTCGTGCTAATCGAAAGATATGTAGGGATTTTTCTACATTAAATCGGGCGAAAATATATATGGGAGCTATATCTAAATGTGAACCGATTTTTACGAAACTTTACCCACATCATTCTAGACCTAATTCAGTACGCTATGCCAAAGTGAAAGATATATAGGTACTTTGGTGCAGCATTTACATTAAATCGGACGAAAATATATATGGGATCTATATCTAAATCTGAACCGATTATCACGAAATTTAACGCACATCATTCTAGTCTTAATCCAGTACTCCATGGCAAATTTCGTACAAATCGAAAGATATATAGGGACTTTTGTACATTATTTACCTTAAATCAGACGAAAATATATATATGGGAGCGATATATCTATATCTGCACCGATTTTTCCCAATTTCAATAGGGTTCGTCATTGGATTAAATAAATGGGCTGTGCCAAATTTCATCCAAATCGAATGATAAATGTGACCTGTACTTTGTTTACAATTTAACATCAACAGACGGACATGTATAAATCGACTATTACAAACATAAGCACAAAGACAGAGAATATGTTTAGTCCAACATAATTTTTGTGAAACTCTCAGGGATTCTGCTGACTTACTCATTTAACCTAAATTGCATGACCCGGTAATTAATAGGTTCTAAACATTGATTCGAATTGATTGTGATTTGGTTTTTTTCTCAATGATAAAAAAAAGCAAACATAATTTTCCCATGTAAATCCCCCACATTCAAAAATGTCCTGTGTATAGTAAAAAAAGGAAACCAAGGAAACGAGTTATGTTGAATGATTATCATCATATCATACCTGCAGGCATAGTAACAGCTTTAAAAAAATATTCACCCCACCCAAGGCTGCTACATTGAATCCAAGCAAAAAAACACAGAAATTATTTGGTGATCAGGGAGAATTGCTTTTTCTGCTGCTGTTGTTGTTGTTGTCGTTGTTGCTGCTGTTTTGTTTGACAGTTGGAAATTTTGAAGTCATAAACAGCAGCAGCAGCAGAGGAAGTTGATGACAATAAGATAAATTGTAGTGTGTATGTTTGTTTTTTAAAAATTATTTTCCTAATGTAATGCAACTACAATAGCAACAACAACAATGGAGCAGCAGCATTCATAAATGTTTTTTTTTTTTTGGAGCTCCCACTTTTTCTGATGACAAAATCCAAAATACGACAAACTTTTTTTTGATATTTTTATGTATTTCTAGTTAATCTGCCACCAAAATCTTTCGTTTCACTAATGACTCTGACTGACTGTGTGGTTGGTTGGTGGCTCTTTCGTTTACGACAACGACGGACGACAACGGCCACAGAGTCAGAAGAAAACATTGAAACCAAAACAAAAACGAAAATAAAATCCAAAAAGAAACAAACAGCAGCAGACGCACACACTCATTCTCATAAAACAACACAGCAAAAAAGAAGAAAAAAATAAAAGAAATGCAAGAAATGAGTAATTTTGGTATTTGCGCAACTCGCACTTTTTGCCTTATTTGTGCACATACAAAAATAATAAAGAAAATTACAGCAACAACAAAAATCCCATGAACAATCACACAAATTCACACAATTCAAGAAACTATCCATGACTTTTATAGCGAAAAAATAAATAAAACATTTATTTATTATAAACAAAAGACATTTTGTAAATAAAAATATTGTTGTTTTTTTTTTTTTTTTTTGTTTAAATATAGATACCAAATCATCATCCATGGTACTAGTCATCTATTTCTTTGAGCATTAAAAGTCTGTCCATGACATTTACACAAAGCAACGAACGACACACAAGAAGAAGGTCTTACCGAATTGGAACATTGTGGTGAACCAGTGACACTTGGCGATCGCTGTACTGTCACCAAAGCCATTTTCTCCACAATGGAAACTTCTTCTTCTACTTCTTTGTTGTCCACAAAGAGTTTTGTGAGTTTGGTTTTTGTTGGTCGCCTTTTTGGAACGACGACGTCTGTTTTGCGATTGCCTTCAAGATTTTCTTGTTTTTTGTCTTCGTTTTATTTTTTAAATTATGTTAGCCTCAGCGCAACGGCTTTTCTTCTATACACAGCACACCACACACTAATATTTTATAACTTGTCGTCTCGTCGGTTTCCTTAATATAATTTTTTTTCTTTTTTTTTTGCACAGATTTTTCCCCGTCTTCTACTGCTTTTTCAACTTTTACATTTGTTGCACAAATTCATTCTTTTTGCAATCTCGTTATTATTCGTTTTATTCCGTAACACACACTATTAGCTTTCGTTCGTATCTTTGCAATTGGTCGTTGACATTCTAAGTTATTATTTATTAATTTTTATAAAATGATATTTTGCGATTATTGGTTAAATTTTTCCTTGTTTAACTTCTAACAAAAGAAAAATATCGTAATTTTTCCTCTTTTCACACACACATACACTGACAGCGACATTCAAGACATTTAACACGACGCCATATTTATCAACTGTCAACCAAGTTAGTCATGCAGCGTAGCTAAAACAAAGCACAGCGTATAACGTGTTGAATGTTGTTTTAATACGCTTTTAGACAATTGACTGTGTTCGGTGTTTACATGTCATTTAATGTTTTAGTATTTGATTAAATTAGAATAAAAAAATAGATAGAAGGTTAACACGGTAAAAAGGCTTGAAGTTAATAACAAAAAATCAGCTCTGTATATAGTGGTTTCTTCTGTCAAATATTAAAAAACTACGCAACAAATGGTTGTGTTTATTTGACATTAATAAAAGGTTATAATTTCTTCAAAAAAAAAAAAAAACATGTTGACTCCATGGGTTGGACTTTGTGGGGGAGATACTATAAAAGGAAGAGCGATAGAAGGAGTACGTCAATGGGTTTCAATATCAGATTCGATCTACATTTGGTAAACAAACTGTGTGCAATGTTGGGATGAATTCGGCTTCTCATTATCTTCATAAGAGATTTAAAGTTTTTAAATTTGTGGGGGGAGTTATGATAAGGACATGAGGCTTGATTTGGTAGAACAAGTCATGGTACAATTATACAAGGTAGGGTAGCTTTTGTCAGAAAGGAGAAAATGCACCTCAACCTTATGGGCAATAATGTCAGACAGACTATCGCATGGTGTATTAAATAAGGTATAAGTGACAATCATATGGTTTCAAAGTTTTTTCGTTTTTTTTCGTGAATCTAATTGTCAAACAAATTTTTCATATATATATATATATATATATATTAATTTTAAAACTTTATAAACAAATGCGAAAATGAATAGTTTTTGGAACAAAGATTTTATTAATGGGAGGGGATCATTTCTCAGCTTCCCAAAGAACCAAATTTTAAGCCCTGTTGCGGATCATTTCAAACACAAAAGGATATTTTGTTGATATTTATTTTGTTGATGATAGCATGAATTTGGGAATTTGTGTGGAATTTTATTTTGACAGGAATTTTGCTCATGGCTGACCACCGACAAAATTTCTACAAAAAAAAAAAAAAAAAGATTTGTTGCTTAGGCGAAAATCTTAAATTGCAGCGAATGTTTCTCACCCACTTTTATTTCATCGGACTTAGAAAGCAATATGTAAAGTAATTTTGATTGTATAAGAAATTAAGTTGCATATCTTGCATTAGAATCTGTCGATGGTGAAGTTGTTTGCTGAGATCCGGCCAACCACCTCAATTTTATATTTAGATGGGTAGGTTCCAAGTGAAATTGTCCCCAAGATCCGGACAATCACCTCAATTTTATATGTGGAAGGTCAGCTTTGGAAGCTTTCGGGTAGTAAGGATTTTCTTGAAAAATATGTATGGTTGATATCAGAAAATCGGCGGCAATATAAAAATAATGGCGTTTCCGACCAGGGTGGAAATTTGTTTTTGTTTCTTCACAAAATAAACTTGTCAGCATGACAATTTAATTTCTATAACAACAATGTTGATTTTGTAAAATGTTCGTTGTTGTAGCTGATGCATACACCCTATTTAATTTAAAACCTTGGACTATCGGACAAAATTCAAGAAAGTGACTAGTCCCCTTTTCCACATGCAAATTTTTTGTTTTCCCTTTTGAAAATTTCGCTTGCTTTTCAACTAGCAAATTTTTCTTTGCCAAATTTGCGAATCAAAATACAAAAGAAATGTCAAAAGTGTTTAAATTTTTAAGAATTTCTTAATGTTTTATTTATTTTTTTCTAATTATTATTATATAAATTGCAAAAATTAAAAATTAAATTTAACTTGCACAAATTAAAGCAACAGGTTTGTAAACAAAATCCGGCTGTGTGTCAGTAAAACGAATAGGTTAAAAAGGAAATGTCAACAAAATTGTTTTCAATGAACAGAACAAAGCAGTATTTGCATGTACCGCAAATTTTGAACAGGCAAAGTTTTGTTTTTCTTCCTCGCATCCCTCTCGCCTACAAACTCAGAATTTGCCAAATAAAAATTTGCCTGTGGAAAAGGGGACCTAGACAATTGACAAACATTTAAATGTATTGGTAAAAATGGTTAGTATCTTTGCTATTGTCTACAAGACTGTCAGGCTGTTTACATAATTTTCGACAACCCATGATCTTCATTAATGCACCCAGCTCGATTAATAATTGGGATGCCTTGGTTTAATAGCATTGTGGCTAGGCTTCGGTTGCGATCACTGAAATCCTTGCTTTGAGACGGAAGCTTTTTCTTTCGTCTCTTTCTTCCACGTAGGTCCCGATTTGCTATTGACATCATTGCTCGAGGTTTTCGTGACTATTTAAATTTGAACATAACGTAGTCATATACCAAGGTAAGGGGTTCAAAACTAAGCCTGAAATACTTGTTGATATGCCCACGTTTTAAAAAAAGGCTCCTTTCGGTAACTCTAACAGCAAATCGTAAAACTAAAACTTTTAATCCAAGGCATTCTAAAGAGGCATGCTTGAAATCCTCGTATGTATCTCTACCATCTTGCAAGAATATACTAATTTTATATGTTTTGAGACATTTTACTTGAAACACGTTCCAGAACCCACAAAACTGATAAAACTTTCAACTTTTTATGCTTTTTACTTGAGAAATTTGGCCGAATTAAAATTGTAACCAGGAATGTCAACTTCTGATTGACTCTTGTGTTATAGTACGTTGTACTGGATTTAGTAAATCCAGTGGGTTTCAAATGTCAATGCCATTGAAAATATGTCAAATATATAAAATCTTCATTGACGAGGTTAACCCCGAAAAAAAGTCCTTATGTAAATTCAGTTTTAATTTGCAAGTATTGTCATCTAATTTCGACATTTTGTCTAGTTTTTCGTTTCAGAACCATTCGTATTATTTTGTACTGTGAGGATTTGAGATTTTGAAATTTTTTTTTCTACAAGATTTTCTATTAAAAAAGTACTGGGACAGAACATTTATTGTTACTAAATCCACACGATTACAAACGTCAATTGCATAGCGTATTTATCACGTTAATATTTTTCACAAATCCAGTGGATTATTTTTGACGTATAGCCTATGGAATTGAAATTTGAGATCGAGATCTAAAAGCAATTATAACTTGTATTATTATACTCATGACAAACTGATGTGTGGCTGACCACCTCGTATATTTGCGTTGATGTCGTACGTTCAGTGTAATATAATGAAACAGCTGTTTGGCAGCATGCTATATTTTATAGGAATGTGTCGATAACAAACATTCCTTTAGGACATAATATATATATATATATATATATATACTTGCATCATGGGAACAGACTAATTATGAATCTGGTTTTCTTTTAAAAATATTTATATGACAAGTAGTATCAGCTGGTTTTTATAAAATTTTGCGTTTTTGTCACCGCGAAGTTGGCAGCACTTAACATCAGCTGGAATTTAAAAAATAAATAAACGTCGTTTTTTTCTCATTCTATAGAGAGAATTTCATCAGGTTGTGTGGGCGATTTGTTTGGTTCCATAGAAAATAAATAAAATAATAGTTTTAATTTAATTGTGTTGAAAAAGAAATTTGCAAATATGTCGATATTATTGGAGGAAACGTCAAATCGTTTATTGCCACGAATAGTTTTAATTGCTTGTGGTTCGTTTAGTCCACCAACTCCAATGCATTTGCGAATGTTCGGTATGTTCGCATAACACATAGGTATTTCATGGTTTGGTTTGTTTACTAATTGAACACAATTTTGATTTATTTGTAGAAATTGCCAAGGATCATTTCGAAATGCATGGCTCGCATAAGGTAATTGGTGGTATTGTATCGCCAACACATGATGCATATGGTAAGAAAGGTTTGGCACCGGGTAAACATCGTTGTGCTATGGTCAAATTGGCATTGCAATCATCATCATGGATACGTTTGTCGGAGTGGGAAACCCAACAGGATGGTTGGTCACGAACACAGGCTGTTCTACAGTATCATCAGAATTTCATGAATAACTATATAAATTCACCCGATTTGGATAATATGAATGGTGATGATAATCATATACCAAGTTGGTTGCCTCCTAGTTTAAGGGAACGTCGGGATCCAGTTCAATTGCGGTTGTTGTGTGGTGCCGATTTATTGGAGTCGTTTGCTGTACCTGGTTTGTGGGCGGAAGAGGATGTAAGTAGAAAATAGATTTAAATAAATCGAAACAATATGGTAAGGGCAAATTCGACTTTCTATAGCTATTCTTTAATTAATTATAATATTTTATATGTTAACTTTTCATCCTCTTGAACGTGATGTGTTCCTTTTTAATACTTTTTTTAGATTGAAGATATTGTTAGCAATCACGGCCTGGTTGTAATATCACGTAGTGGTTCCAATGCCGAAAAATTCATTTTTGAATCAGATGTCTTAACCAAATATCAGGTAAATTATATAAAATTGCATTGCAAATTTAAATTTAATTAAAATATGAATTTCCATTTAGCGCAACA